CTCAGTTCTACGGTTGCTAGCCCCCCCCCCCCCCAGCTCACCGTGGAGACTTTGGCCACCACCTGCGGCATCAGCTCCAGGCCGCGCGTGAAGGTGCGGGCAGCTACGAAGGCGCGTGTCAGCTGGAGGCGGAGCTTGCGCGGCATGTCTCCGAAGGGGCGGAGCTCCTCTGTGTGCTGGCTCACGCACTCCATGTAGGCGTCGCTGAACTCGTACTGCACGTTGACCAGCCGGAGCATCCGCTCCAGAAGCTCCGCCCAGAAGTCCGCCAGCATGGCGTCCAGGTCGACGGCGGTGCTCCCCGCCGCGTAGTAGCGGCCCAGATCCCTAAAGAGCCCCTTGAAGAGCTCCGCGTTCTTCACGTACATCTGGCCGTACGTGCGAATGAACATGCTGTTCAGGGAGGTCTCCGCGTTGCTCAGAAGCTCCCGGAAAAACTCTGCGGAGAGAGAGGAGGGTCCTTCTGGATGTACGAACGTCGTAAACAGTTCATTTGCCAGCATTCACTGGAGTTGACCCACAGCTTAGCGAGACAAGGGTGAGTTTGTGTTAGATTTGGGGGGGAAAAAAAAAAAAAAGTTTAGGCAAATCTACAACACGCCACAGCTAACCATTAAGCTAGAGCCAATCCCAGGCAGCAGAGGGCAGAAGGCTGGAGTACCCCCCCCCCCTGGCAGGATGCCACTCCATCACAGGGCACATACACACCAAAGGCAATTTACTGATGCCAACCTTCCAGAGGAAAACCAGGCCACAGACCAGACGCGAGGCTGAGCACGAGGAGGGCCAGCGATGTCCCCCCCCCACCCCCCCAAGCGGGGAGCCCATCACCGGATCCATCACAGAACCAGACGCACAAAGAATGGATTTACTTTGAGATAACGGCGCCACTCCATTTATATAAGAGATCCCGGATCACATGTCTCTCACATGTGGGGGAAGCCTGGGGGCAGTGACATCAATGGGGGATGGGGGGGGCTGATCATCATCGGCTGTCCTTTTGTGTCCAGCTACTGTCTCCCTCCCTGCCTCTCTCTGCCTGTCTGCAGGTCCTTCTCTCTGTGTCTGCCTGTCTGCAGGTCCGTCTCTCTGCCTGCCTGAAGGTCCGTCTCTCTGTGTCTGCCTGAAGGTCCGTCTCTCTGTGTCTGCCTGTCTGTCTGCAGGTCCGTCTCTCTGCGTCTGCCTGTCTGTCTGCAGGTCCGTCTCTCTGCGTCTGCCTGTCTGTCTGCAGGTCCGTCTCTCTGCGTCTGCCTGTCTGAAGGTCCGTCTCTCTGCGTCTGCCTGTCTGTCTGAAGGTCCGTCTCTCTGCGTCTGCCTGTCTGTCTGAAGGTCCGTCTCTCTGCGTCTGCCTGTCTGTCTGAAGGTCCGTCTCTCTGTGTCTGCCTGTCTGCAGGTCCGTCTCTCTGTGTCTGCCTGTCTGCAGGTCTGTCTCTCTGTCTCTGCCTGTCTGCAGGTCCGTCTCTCGGGGGTATTCTCCAAGACATCACTGAATAATTCAGGGAATACCCCCCCACCCTGCCCCGCCCCATTTCTGCTTTTCCCTTTGAGATGCCCAGTGTCTTCTGAGGGCTCTTCAGTGTGGATGGACACACAATGACCCACTTCATGCTCAGGAATGCCCCCCCCCCAATGGATCAGAGGCGGATCACCTCTGCTGGGAGGTGTCTCCCAGAGCTGAGCGCAACACTGCCCCACCCCTCCCCCCACCACTCAGCCACACTGTGCCCCCACCCCCCCCTGATCTTTCCCTGGGTGCTCACCTCTCGTTCCTCTCGGGGGGTGTTCACCGGGCGGCCGCCCTGTTCCCACGGTCCTTACACAAGCGTGACTGTTTATCTGTCTGTGTGTGTGTGTGTGGGGGGGGGGGTTGTATTTACCACATTGTGGGGACCAAATGCTACTTTTTAGCATGTGGGGACATTTTTTATTCCAGTCCCCACAATATAAACCTCAATTTTCTAAAAAATCTGTGAACGCAGTCAAAAAACTAAAAATGCCATAAGTTTTGTGAAGTTGACATGTGCATGACGTCACAGTAGGCGGGAGTCACTGCGTTCAGACCCACTGGGTAAAATTGTCACTAAAGTTATATCTTGCATTGACTACTCATCAATGAAATATTTAGCATCGTTCATTTATATTCTGTTATGGCAAGGAATTTGCCAGTATTTATTTAAGGACGTTCATGTTAATTAGCCTTATGTTCCACAAACACGATGAGAGAGTCAGATGGTGCTCGCAGGCTGAGACAAGACCAGTTTTCCTTCACAAAGCAAGTGTAGGTAACTAGCTAGGTAAACTTTACAAGTTTCTACAAAATATGCTGTCAGGAAATTTCAGCCAACATATTGACGTCCCTGGTCCTTTGGTAAAATGGATGTATCCCAGTCCAACTGTGTTTAAACAGACTGGCAGTTTCCCCAACTCAAATCAGCCATGTTGCAGCATGTTTTACCACTCAGTCTGTCAGAGGGGGCATGTTCTGGCGGGGCAGCGACTATTTTGTTTGGTTACTTATGGTTAAGGTTAGTGCTGGGTAGGGGTTAAGATCGTCATGTTGGGATTAGGGTTTTCCCCATAGAAATGAAGAGTCCCCACAAAGATATAATTACAAGTGTGTGTGTGTGTGTGTGTGTGTGTGTGTGTGTGTGGGCCCCCCACATCCCAAGCTGAAGTTACAGATTTAAACACAAGCACCATTTCACCAATAAAACAGAACAAGAGCACATTCAGCGATTACAGCCT